CATGAGAGGGGGGAGGGTCAGAGGGAGAAGCAGACTCCCTGCTGAGCAGGGAGCCCGATGTGGGACTCGATCCCGGGACTCCAGGATCACGACCTGAGCCGAAGGCAGTCGCCTAACCAACTGAGCCACCCAGGCGCCCAAGAAGTTGTATTATCTTTAACTTATAAATGGTGGAACCATCATGTACAAGATGAAATTTGTTGCACAAGACAATGAAAAGGCATGTAGCTACTTTAAATGAACCTAAGAATTGTATCCCAGGTGAAAATGGGGAACCCAAGAGGTGGTTTTTCAGAGTGGAAAAGGCAAGTCAAAACAGCTGGGAAAAGGGAAGTCCAAGCCAGCACTGGAGTCTGGGATCCAATAGAGAGCAAAGAACAACAGGGCTACTGGTAGCGATCCAGAGGCATCGAATATTCACTGCAAATACCTGAACTTAAACCCTCGAAGGGTCTCCTCTCCAGGCCTTGCCTCCCCCCTCACTGCTATGGGGATAGTTACTGATAATTATCTTGATATGTGAAAAGCTTGTTTAAGTTCTCTTGTAATGCTTTTTTTCTACCGAAAAAAACCCATTGGTGAGAGCCACTGTGGAGAGATGCAAAATCTTGCTACAGAAGCAGGAACAGCCATGAGGCCCTTCATCTGCTGCTGCCTCCAGGAACAATCGCTAAGAGGCCTTTGTGGGAGCACTGATGGTATCAGATGCATGGAGGTGACGGAAAGAATACTGTCTGGAATTTGCCAGAACTGCTGTAAACCTGTTTGAGTCACTGTGGATGAAAGCAAACATGAAAGAAAGGACGTTCTGAACCACCTACTGGCATCCAGAATAAGGCTGATAGGGACAATGCCTCTTTCACATCCCCTGAGGGAAAACAGTAACAGTTTCCTGCCCAGAAACATGGGGGGATAGAAAGCCCAGAAATTCAGGGAGGTAAAAGGGGTTTGGATAAGCCCCGGAGTGCCAAGTTAGAACCTGGCTTTAGGATTACCAGTAGAGGGTAAATCTAAGAAAAAGGGTTTCTAGAAGAGCAGTATCCAGAACAAACAGGGGGGTTAGTCCTAAATCATAGTTCTGAGTGAGATAAATGCAGAAAATTCTGAATAGTTGTCACATTTTAAAGAGAAATCCTATCAAAACCGAATGAACTAAGAAGTGACAGGAAGGAGCCTGAACTACATGGGAAACATAGTAGATAAGGCAAGCTTGGAAGAACAGAAGGCTTTTCCACTGAAGTAAATAAAATACCTGTGAGGGAAAAACACCTATTCCAAGAGCTGTTATTTAAAAGAGGGATTAATGCCCAAATGTTATATATAACAAGGACTAACAAGCGGATCTTTTCAAAAAGATGTTTTGGGTTCAACAGAGAATTCTGAAATAATATAACATTATGCTAATTCCCATATGTCCAAGGACTACACACCTTTTGCAGGACATGGAAATGCAATGCGTTCATTGGCCACTCTTTCTTGGAATGGAGTGTTATATGGAGGTTCTAGGTCTTCCAGTGTAGGTGGTTCTATTAGAAAAATAAATGCATTATCACAGGCTTTCCTTAAGCAATATCAAACTCTCTTGAAGCATCATCAACCAGCTACACTGGTGAACTGCTATCTTTCCTGATTCTTCTCCTAAATATGACACACATTTATAGCTGCCAGACACTTTACTGTAGTACATTTATCAAACTGCTAAAAATATCTGGTCAAATATTTCGCTAGAAAAGACAAGTTACAGGGCGCCTGGGTGGCCCAGTCAGTTAAGTGACCGACTCTTGATTTGGGCTCAAGTCATGATCTCAGGGTCATGAGATCAAGCCCTGCCTTGGGCTCTGTGCTCAGCTCAGAGTCTGTTTGGGATTCTCTCTCTCTCTCCTCTCTCTCTCTCTCTCAAGTAAATAAAATCTTTGAAGTACACAACTGCAGGGAGCATCACCCGATTTTAATTTTCTACATGGTACTTCTCATGACCTGTATTTCTTACTTATTTGCTTGCTTTCTGCCGACTCACAGTAGAACAGCTTATGCCAGCAGGTTGTATGATATACCCCCACCATACACGTATTTTTCTGTGCCAAAAATCACCTTGGACTTGTAGTGTTATTTCCGTCTCATCACTGCCTGCTATGTTAGTAGCGACACATGTATATAGGCCGGCATCAGAGAGCATGGCTTGGTCGATGCTTAACGTTCCATCTAAATTGCTAACATGCTGCACTCCGTCAACCAGCAAGGCACTTCCGCCCTTAAACCACGTGATTACAGGAAGAGGCGTCCCTTGAGCGTTGCACGGAATGTCCACTCTTTGACCAACTTGGACTTTCATAAGCTTAGGGCCACGCTGTATCTTTGGAGGAACTAGACACAATTTTGAGTATTAATAATCCAATTTAAAAAAATTCCTTTCTCTTCTCACTTTTAATGCGAACTCCTTACCAAGAGGCAGCATGAGAAAGTGGAACGATCTCAGGATTTGGACCCAGGCTCAAGCCACCTACTAGCTGTGTGATCTAGGGCAAGTTGGTAAATTTCCTGAGGCCTGTTTCCTTGATAATCCAGGCAAAAATAACCTCTTCAATATCAGTACACTGCAAGGATTATGGGCAATAATAAATATAAAATCCCTCATGCCAAACTTGAGGAAAAGGCAAGGTTTTAAAAATGTTAGGTTTCCTTTAAGTTATAAATAATTTTAAAGTTTAAAACCCTCTTAAAAGGCAATGATGTCTATAATACAAGGGAGTAAAAGAAAAAGCATTTCTCTTCAGGTACTCCTAGTTTTTGTTCTCTTTGTAGAAGGTTTAGCCAGACAGTAAGAAAAGTTTCTCATAAAAACCTTTGCTAATTTCAGAGAAGAAAATCAAAATCAAGTCTCTATTACTTCTCTTTATCTACCTTCCTTTAGAAATTTAAATGAGATAATTTATCAAAACATTGGTAAGTATTATTCATTTCCACATACATGCATTATACACTAGAGAATCAATTTGACTCATAAGGATATCATTAGAATTTATGTACCTTACATTGCTAAAAAGCCCCATCCCTCTGTCCATTTTTTAAAACTTAATATTTAACCAATACATTCTAAAGGTTGTAACAACTTTATAATTTTGAGAGGACTGTTATTATCATTTTATGAAAGAGAAAACTAAAGGTAAGAGAGATTAGGTAATATTAGGTAATCCACGATACCCTAGAGCTAGGAAATGATGGAACTCTCACTGGATCTCAAATCCCATGGTTAATAGGACACTATTATAGTGATTGATCTGAGAGTGAAATCAGGTCAATGTTATCTGAGAAAATCTTTTCCTGAAATTTGAGTATCTGGCACCTACACAATGCCTGACAGAGTATGTACTCACTAAGCATGTGTTGAATAAATAAATATTTGGACAGACTATGGTAAAATTGAGGGAATAAAACAGATTAACTAGAAAGTTTTTAAAAAGTTAAAGAGTTCCAGGAAGCAGGATGTTTTCAGTTGCTGAATTCTCTGAATATTGAAAGTGACCATTCAAATACTAGTAAATTCTTCTTTGAGAACTCACATTCACTTCCACAAAAAGCCATCAGTCTAAACATATTTTCTTTTTTTACATTGTATCAACAGTTGTCATAAGTGACTGTGGACATTTAGTAAAATGGAGAGCCAAAATTTTAATACTGTTCATTTGAGGAAAAGGGGAAAAGTTGTCTATAGGTGGCAAATAAACTTTCCAGAGCAAATGAAAGAAAAATCGCAAGGCTCCAATTTTAGAAAATTTTTCTCTAATTACTCTATATACAATTTAGAGATTAACTATCAAAGAAACTGGTATGACGGATTTTCCTGTGGCCAGTACACAGATATCATATGCTTTCATTTCAAAACTCACCATGGACATTTAATTTAACAGACTGAGTCACGTTCCCAGCTATATTTGTGGCAACGCAAAGATACATCCCACTATCTGAAACACGGGTCTCAATGATCTTCATTGAACCAGAAGGGAGGAATGTGTGTCTAAAAGAAAGAAACCACATAGTAGACCATAGAACATGAGAATTTAAGTATCTCCAATGCAGCTGCACTTCAGTGTGAAATTACTACTCTGCAAGCAGTTTTTGAAACTATTCTCCCATCTATATTACTTATATACACTTTAAAAGTCAGGAATTTTCATAATTATATTATGTATGTGTATATATTTCATATTATATTGTGTATATATTCTGTATGATGTTCTGACCAAATACAAAATCAGTTTTCTTTTACTTTTAGATCTAACCTAATGACCTGAAATTATCCAAAAATTATACATCTCTCTGCTTTGTTAAGTTGTGATTCCACAAAGCAAATATATATTTTAGTAAGTTTTGAACATATTTTGAATACTGTATTGTTTTTTCTGCAATGCTTCGTTAAAAAATTTAGTGTGTTAAAATAAAGGCAAAAGAAGGTACATACGTAATTCTCAAAAATTTATTGAATATATTCTTCCTACAGGACAATAATATAGTTGAGTGAGCCAGATCTACATATAAAAATGTTATTATGTTAATTGTATTGAAATAGCTTTAAGGGGGAGAGGGCCAGATAGACCTGTTTAATACCGAGATTTCTTATAAGCCTAGGAAAAAGAAAGTTGTTCTACTGGCCCTGAGACAGAAAAATGAATAAATAGTTGAGGACAGAATTCCCCCCAAAAGAAATAAGCATATAGGAAAATCCAACATATAATATGCAATAACAGAGGTGATATTACAAAGAGCAAGGAAAGGGCTGATTATTCCGAAAATGATGTTGCGCAACAGGTTCTCCACATGGGAAAAATAAATAACTAAAAATAGAGTACTACCCATACTAGACACAACATAAAAATTCAGATGGATTAAGGTCTGTAATGTGAAAAACAAGCTTAAAATAGTAGAATAGAATACTGGTGGCCATGTTAATATCCTTCATAAAGTACAAGTTTTAAAAACAGATTAATACACTGAGCTACAAAAAAAAATGTAAAATTCTGTATAATCAGACATCACACATTAAAAGCCTTGCAGTGGTCTGAGAAAAGATATTTTCAACACATACAACAAAGGACTGTTATTAAGAATACAGACCCAATTTCTATATTCAACTAGAAAAAGACAAGCAAGTCACCAGAAATCTGTGCAGCAGGTTTTAAAGAGAGGCAAGTCACAGATGACACGAATGCCAACAAACAAGTAAAGGCATTCTGGGCTCCCTGGAAGTCAGTCACATGAAAACTCAGATAGTTGCAAGATACCATTTCACACCCATCTGAACAACAAAAATGTTTAAGTCCATCAACACCATGCATTGATGATAATGGGGAAGTAGGTACACCTATATTCTAATGGGAGAAAGGTAAACCAGTAGTGCCTCTTTGGACAGCAATTTAGCATTGTCTACAAAGCTGAAAGTAGGAATTCATCCTGACCAGAAACTGTAGCTCTAGGTACCACTCCTAAAGAAATTCATGCATGTGTATATAGAGAGACATACATAACGATATTCACTAAAAAGCCTTGTTTGTAAAACCAAAAATCCAAAACCAAACCAAAGAAAAACAAACGAAACCCTGAATGTCCATACACTGGGAAATGTACACACAAAATGTAGAATATGTATATGGTAGTTAAAAATGAATAAATGAAAAAAATGTGGACTTAAAAAAACAAGCAGAATAAGAATATTTAATATGTTACACGGCAAATTGAAAGCAGACAGAAAAAGCAAAAGTAAAAACACAGAAAACAAGATCCTCTGCAGTTTTAGAATGGATGCATAGAAAGCACATGAATCCTGTGGCAGTATTTGCCCCTGGGAAGGGAGAAAAGAGAATGGGGAGGAAAACAAGGAAACTTCAACTGTATCTGTAATATGGTATTTCTTTCATTCAAAAATATCCAAAGCAAATATTTGTCAAAGAAATAGTAAGCTTATGTAAAGTAGTTCTTAACTGTCTTTGTTACCCCCACCAGGGGTAGCTTCATAACTATACATCAGTAAGTTTAACAGACAAAGCTGGAGACTATAATTCTTATTCCACCAGTAACTTCTGGCATGATGTTGAGTTAAAACAGTAATTGCTACTATTCCTTGAGAACTAAAGACGGGGGTGTGGAATATACATTATCTTATATAATCCTTTTGCGCAAATACTAACTCCATTTTATAAATAAGAAATCTAAGGTTCAGAGGGCCACTGAAAAAAATTGCCAAAAGTTTCAGGCAAACTTTAAGTGGTGGAGGTAAATTTAACCTTGTACCTGCATGGCAACAAAGGTGGTACTTTAAAGGCTCTGGCATTCTGCTTTCCGTGTCACTTAGCCTATCAAATGTATTGTCTCAGTGGGCCTTTAAAAGTCTAAGGGTTTAATCAAGAAAATTTTTACAAAACCATCTAATGAAAGTCAAGTCTTAAACATTAGAGTTCTTACTGTGTTCTACTGCTCCTGTGGGATTAATGAGATTCTATGTGTCCTATACACACAAATATGCTCCATTTCAATAACTACCTTGTATATGCACCTGTAGGAATTTATGTCAAAGTTGGGTGCTGGCATTTCTGATATTAAAGAGTGATTTAGAAAGTACACATATATTTTCTGTAGGCTCAGATATATGTGTGAATTATCCCAAATTTAAGTTATTTTTTGAAACGTCTGAAAACCTGAATAGGTACACCCACCTGCCCTAAGAGATTCTGTTTTTGCATGTCGCGGTTCATCCCAGATCCCCTACCTTGGAGAGAATGGAGAGATGAGTTGGGTCTCTTTGGCCCAGGTAATGATGGGTGGGGGTAAGCTCTTTACTTCACATGGGAGTGTCACCTCTTCCCCTGCAAGGATGGAGATCTCAACAGGCTTATCCTGGGACAGTCCTCGTTGATCTCCAAACACTCTGGGCCTTACTAAAATAAACACATGTTTTAGAAGGGAAATAGTACATTGAAAACATTTAACTTACATTCAAATGTGGACTATTAATATTCTTTAAAAATGTACAAAAAGATGCTGCTGTCTATTCCAAAGCTTCAGGGCATATCTAAAACTTTCCATGAATACATTTATAGCGAGAGCTGAAAGGAAAATGACCAGAAAGTTTCCCTTTTTAGTTCTTCCTTTCAGAACATAATGAAGAGGTCAGCTGAAATGCCCTTTCAGAGTCTGCCATTTGTACAAAGAACCCCTCAAGGCAGAGTGCTCACCAAGACATAGCTGAGGTTTGGCTTTGCTAGGGGTTTTAACTAACTGGTGTTTCTGAAGCTGGCTGGGTGCAATAAGCATACTTCTCAGAAAAACACCATAAAATTTTTCCTAATGGCTATACAATAACTCTCCCTTTAAATAAGAATCTCAGTAGAGGAGATGTTGGTTGGCAGCAAAAATGCAGTTCACATTAGGAGAACAGCCCCTGGTAATATGATTTGGGAGAGAAATGTGAGTTTTGGCACGGGCAGACAGCGTCAAAGAACAACATTCCTCCGGGGGCTCTCACCGTAGACGGTCAGCTGCACTTTCCTTTTGGCGTAGCCAGCCGCATTGGTGGCGGTGCAGACATACTCCCCGCTCTCTTCACCCCCAGGTGACACCACATACAAACTTCCGTCAGCCCCTGCGGAAAACTTAGCACTGCTGGTGGAAATCAGCTCCCCTTTCTGCAAAACACAACAAAGAGTGTTTTTTAAGATAATAAAGGAGTGACTTCATGTCTGGGAAAGGAAGAGAGGAAGAAAAAGATCTCCATGGGGGGAAAATACTAGATTAAAAAAATGCTAATCTGAAGTAAGTTATTTACACGAAAAATTAAGCAAATAAAGCAAAGGTGGTATTTCTTCATACTGAACCATGTCCCCTTTGTTCCAGAGCTACTTAAAATGGAGGGAATAATGGTAATAGTGATGAATGGGACAGTGCTTAAATTAGCCACGCACTGTTGTTTTGAGTGCTTCACATGAATGAACTATTTTCGCATTCAAAACAATTATATGAGTAGGAACTACCATAATCACCATTTTATAGATGAAAATATTAAAGCTTGGGGATGATGTGGAATAACAGTCAGTCTGTGGTAGAGCTGGGACTTGAACCCTGGCAGTCAGGCTCTGGACCCCAAATTCTTAACCTCTGTGCTTTATCACAGCACAGAGGCCACTCTGGCTTTTCATTTTTACATTTTCCTAAAATGCATTAAACTTCTATACAGTACTAGATGCTGTACAGTTTGGGGATCAGCTACAGCACTGGATTTTTGTGTCCAGAATGCAGAAATCTTAACCTTTTTATTTAATTTACAGATGTCAGCACCAACTTTATATTTCAGAGCTTTTTAGATATATAAAATTAGATGGTAGTTACCATACATACATACATACATGTATTTACCATACATACTTGGGTTGTAGTACTAATTATACAAATGCCATATTTTGTTATTATGCCATCATTTCATATTACTTACAGCTGCCAGATTTAAATTAATTTACAGAAAATATATGCTGTCTTCATGACTGTTCAAAGATGAAAAGGACTTCCTTAGGAAATGGGTTTTTCCTCACTGCAAGAATACAAGTAAAAGCCGGACAACTTCACGAGAGGGACACAGAGGGGAATAAATGAGTTGGGTGTATGTCTTATTTTGGCTTCCTAAGAGAACAGGGTCTGAGACAAAGATTTGGGGGCAAGAAGTTTAGTGGGGAAAATATCCCCAGAGGCTCAAGCAGGTGGGTAGGAGAGTGAGGCACAGAAGGAAGGAAAGTTAAAAAGGATTTCAGTGCTCTTGTTTCCTCTGTGGCTGGGCTGATAAGCTTCCATTTGCTGGGGATCCTTTGAGAAACTATGTAGAAGCAACTCAGAAAGACATATTCTTCTGATGGATGAGAAGCAGGTCATTTACATAGGACACCTGCCCCCCACAGGCGTTACTGCCCCTACATTTCCTGGCTACCCAAGAACAGGCTGAGTGGCCTTATGGGACTTTGGAGACAAAGCCCTGAGTCCAAAAACCAGAGAGGCACATGCATGAAGTGGGAGTGACTCTGGCAGTGTGCATGGAGCTGTCCACCAGAGCTGCGCTGAAATCACAAGGGCTGCCGGGATGTGGCAAGGGTAAAGAAGGATCTGGTACAAACATGCAAAGTGTTTAGACAAGCTCCTGGTGTGCAGAAGGTGCTATGTTGTGTTCACTGTTGTGTTGCTAATGTTACTCCAGCATCAAGTAGGTGACTGCACTAAGGACATTTTAAGGTCCCTTCCACGTGGTATGACTTGCATGGGTTTTCCTTTTTAGAAAATTCTACGGTACAGTCACAAGTCCCACGTAGGATGAAAAATACTCAAACATTGTTGTGATAACACGTAACATTAACAAACACCACTAGGTAGGTCATTTACCTTGGACCAGATGATAGATGGCTTGGGAATTCCACTTGCTTTGCATGGTAGAGTTACTGGAATGCCTTCAATTGTGCTGAGTACCTGCTGCCCATGCTGAATGGTTGGCAGAACTAAAAAAAGGACGCAATACGCAGAATCTGAGCATCTGTTGTTCCATTTAGCCTCGTATGTTTTAAAGTTGCACGTTTTTAGGATAGACTACGTTATTTGTAAAAACTAGCTAAGACAATATTTTCTTATAGAAATGTAGGGTAACGTGTAAGTAACTGTAATAAAGTAAATACAGTATCTGTAATCTGAAGAATTTAATAAAAACTTTAAGTCAAGTAGTACATTATGCATAGCAAGTTAACTTTCCTAACAAAAATAAGACTGAAGAAAATCCATGTTTTCCTGGAAACTCGAGGTAGAATCACATCCTGACAGTTACACATTTAACCAGACCTTTCATCATCGTCCATTACCCATTAAGCTGTAGTGAGCTGATGTAAGCCCACTGTCACAGAAATGGACTGTTTAAACACTACACATTTAATATCTGCCTATTCACAAGAACTACTTAACAAGCTACTAAATTTAACCTAGAAAGAAGGATATGTTGTCTTAAAAGAAATTCAACAATAAAACTTGCAAGGCCTTAGGCATTTACATTTAAAAGACTAAAATACCAGAATCTAAGTCAGTAGTTTTCACTAAGAAGAATAACATACCTTTTCACTTTAGAAAGCAACTGAAGAATTAACATTACATGAGCAGAAGCAAAAGGAAAAGGAAGACTGTTAATGATTCCATTCTGTGCATATCTCAATGAATCACAGGCAACTAGCATATGAAAAATTATCAATACTCAGTGTTCTCAAAATAATGAATTTGATTAACAAAGTTCCCATACATGAAAGTTCTTCACACAGTGCAAGGAACACAATACAAGCCCGATATATACCAGGCGTTTCTTTTCCCTCCCCTGGAAAGATGACTGCAACGGCTTCCTAGGGCTCATGCACTCACTGAGTCTCTTGCTTTGGAGACAAATTTCTCTAGAATTATCACAGCTACCCGGGAGGAGAAGTTTGCCAGAACAAGAGATACCAGAGACTTCCATTCATAAGCTTCCCTGGAAAGCTTAGCTTTGCTACACCCTGGTATTTTCCTAAGGCTAGGTTTATTCTTTAGATAAGTTTTTCTTAAAAAAAAAAAAAAAAAAAAAAATGGCCAAAAATCCCAGATACTCTACGTCAGGCTACTCTCTAAAGCAACATATTTAATTTCCAGAATCATCATGGAAGAGTCAACTCTCAACTCCACTGTAATTTTGTGGCTACATTCAATAAGCCATTTTCTTAAATGCATATTGAGTTTGACAGCTATTCGGGAAAGTGGCAAATTTAGGCATTTTCAAATCTGATGACATCTGTCTGTGGAAAAGCTGTTTCTTTCCAGATTATCCACCTACATAAATCAAGATGACAAGTGAGTGGTTTGCCATTTTAATTTACATTTTTATTTACATGCATTAATTCATCCTTTTAAAAACTGGTCATTGAGAGCTTTTTTTTTCCATTTTTTTTATTATGTTATGTTAATCACCATACATTACACATTAGTTTTTGATGTAGTGTTCCATGATTCATTGTTTGCATATAACACCCAGTGCTCCATGCAGAACGTGCCCTCTTTAATACCCATCACAAGGCTAATCCATCCTCCCACCCCCTTCCCCTCTAGACTATGGACTCTGAAAAACAAACTGAGGGTTCACTGACAGCTTTTAATGAGTATCCTTAAAAGTGGTGAGGCAGAGGGGCACCTGGGTGGCTCAGTCCTTAAGCGTCTGCCTTCGGCTCAGGTCATGATCTCAGGGTCCTGGGATCGAGCCCCACATTGGGCTCCCTGCTCTGCAGGAGGCCTGCTTCTCCCTCTCCCACTCTCCCTGCTTGTATTCCCTCTCTTGCTGTGTTTCTCTCTCTCAAATAAATAAAATCTTAAAAAAAAAAAAAAGTGGCAAGGCAGAGTCATGAAGGAATGGCAGTGCTAATTAACATGCATACGGAGGTACAGAAAACCTGTGATACCACATCATATCATATCCAACTCAAAAACTCATCTGTTGGCTGAATGGTTGCTGGGTTTAGTTCCCGTCAAACGTCTGGGTTGATTTTTTTAACCTTAGTAACTAAATCAGTTACTCATTTTGGACTAAGATGGATGAAACGATGTCTTTTTAGCTTTTAATTGTCAACATTTAGTGCATCATGATAAACCACATCACCAGTTCATCTCCTCGCTCCTCTGATCTGGCTAACACCCCAGCTACTCACATCACCCTTTCACTCAAGTAAAAATTAGCCTCAAAAACTTTCTCAACACAATATTCTATGGAGGTGACATGATTATATTTCTATACTAGATTCTCAAGCCAGTCCATAAGCTCCCTCCAGGAAATTGATGGACTGATTTTTTCTAAAAATATACACAATTGTATTCAATCTGGCATTATGCATTTATTCTTTTAGACAATAATTTAGTGTTACTTTAATATATCTTTAAAATAGTATTTCTTCAAGAATATCTCATGCGATATTGGGGGGCCTGGTATAAGATTGAGAGAGGCAGAAGAGGCTATTTACAATGAGACACAGATATTAAAAAAAAAGAAGATGGTCTGCATCCACTGACAATTTCAATAGACCAAGCAAAATGTGGAAATTACTGGATTCTCCAACTCATGTCCTAAAAAAAGGATGAATTTACTAAAAACAAATGTTCTGTGTTACTTTCATCTCTGTACACAGAACTATTTTTTAAAACCACACTTAAAACAATGTTGCAAAGTCTTTAAAGAAAATATACAAAAAAAACTTGTGACAATTTCTTAAACTATGAAGTTGTCACTTATTTATTGAGATGTAAAAAGTTCGTGACTGTTAGTCACGAATGGAAAAAGATAGCTTTTGGATTTTCTTATTTGTGACCTTTTAACTTATCTAACATGCAAAAAGATTGTTTGGAGCACATGAGGTGGCCTTTAGAAAAGTTTAGGTCATTTCTAGCTAACACACAAAGGGGTCATTAGTAAGGACATGCTTGTTGCACAATCCAAAAAGAAAAGGCAATTTGGATGGAATAATAAGTTCAGCTTGCCTGAAATTAAAATGTATTTTTAAACCTAACTCTTTGAGAACTGAGTTCACTTTTATCAATTAAGAAAGCACTTACAAAAGCCCTTGGCTAGACTCAGCTGGTGACTCCCAATAAAGCCTTTTTGTGTATGTAGGAAAGGGAATTCTGGAAACAGCCTTAACAATGTAAATAGTGTTCAAGAAATAAGGCTTTTTGTTAAGAATAACAATTAGGAAAAAAATCTACTTCTTACAACTAGAAGACAGAGTTGTTTGACTTAGGGACATAAACCTAGCTTTGAGCATGGTTTGGAAAGAATTACAATGGGTGTGTCTCTTACCATGCACATCCAGAGTGGTAGTTTTATTAATGGTTCCAGCAACATTACTGGCCACACAAGTATATTGGCCTCCATCCTGAAGGCGAACTCTTTCAATATGGAGACTCCCGTCACTGCGTACAGTGATGTAAGGATTTTGGACCAACTTAAAGAAAAAAAAAGTCATATTTAATTTAAAAGGTAAACTTTCCTAAGCCAAAACCAGATTTGTTTTTTTTTTTTTCCCAACTGGGTTATTAAATGTCTTTTAACAAAATATTTTAACAACCTTAAGGGAAAAATGATGAACATAAAATGTTACCAAGAGTAGAATCAATTATATGTCATCCTGATATACCACCAAAAATTACACCTACTAACATCTGTTGGAGTTACGCACATGCTGGAAAAAGGATGTTTCATGTCAAGTGATGTCTCTATTTCGTGTCTCTGTGCTTTTTGTTATCACTCAGGACCCAAATTCCACTAGTCATTTTTACTTGTTACTAATTTGTTATTTTCCAAGAAGACTATATCACCACTTGCAAGCTATTTGATATTTTTATTTTGGCAAATAGGCAGTCATTCAAGTTGAGAGAATGTGATTCATCTCAACACTCACCCTTTTCAGTGAAAGATGCAAATATTAGAGGCAATGTATGATACAGGAACTGTGTCAGAGAAGGTTGGCAATATTTTCTGTTAAAAATGATACTCTAATTGTGCCATTTATGCGTTTTGTTCAATCACAGAATACCTTAGTGCTCAAACAGTATCATCCTTTGTTATAAGGGCATTTAATTATTGAGTGAGGTCTACTAATTTTCCTCAGGGTTTTATGCAAATATGAACAATTTTACATCTTATTCCATGGAGTCAATTCACTTCTAATTGGCATTTCAAAAAGAGAGCAAGTCTAACTACCCTGGAAAATGGAAGGAAAAGTGCTCTTAACTAGATGAAAATTTATTGCCAGAGATAGCATGTTTGCAAAAAATTCCATAGAACTGTGAAAATTTTTTCACATCCTTTCATAATCCAAAGTTATATACTGAAAAACAATGACACAAAATAGATCCACATTTTTAAATAGCTCATGATAAAAGATACAATGTTTGAAATTAATAATAAAGATTAATAAATGGAAGAATTTTATGAAATAATATTTATTACATCCTACAAAGAGGATATAAAAATATTTAAATGCTATAAAAATAATTTTCTATTTGCTTCAGTTTTTACATATTCTGAAGAGTTTATTAGTTGCACTGAATTTAATGCAAAACTATAAAAATCACACCATTGCCTATTTCTCCATCTTATTAATTCTGAAATAATATAAACAGCATAAACATGTTAATACTGAAAAAAAGTTTTTCTTTTGTATTTTTGTATATTTATTAAATTGAAATTTTAATGGTTGGAATAAATTGCCTCTTATGCAAGAAAATTAGAAATGTGAATGCATGGATTTAAAAAGTTCTTACCATGGCTGAATTTTTAAGCCACCGACGTTCTGGAATGGGATTTCCAGCCAACAGAGCACAAGGCAAAGTAAGCTGCTGTCCTTCAATGACACTGGTCACTGAAGGGCTGATTCCAATGAGTGGAGCAACTAAGTCAGAGAGAAACAGGTATTATCAACTCTATCTTACCCAAAAGGAAGACAAACATCCTTAGAGGCCAAGATTATGCTCTTTAAAAAACTGAATTTTCAAGAACAAGATTTTTAAATATAAATGGGTTTGAATTTACTTTCTCTACTCCAAACTATTATCTGCCCTCTTGCCATTCCCTCTGCCAGTTGGGAATGGCAAGAGGGCAGATAATAGTTTGGAGTAGAGAAAGTAAAAAAGAATTCGTCTATGGCATAGAAGGCCAGAAATATCAAGCCAAGAGATGTGCAATGTATGCAATGGACAAATGGAAAGGGACTGAGAGCACTTATAAATTAAAAAAGTGGGATCATCAGAACCATTCTCAGGAAATATTAATCTGAAAACTGTGACTAAGACTTACTGGAGAAGGGAAAAACTGGAAGGGATAAGATCAATTAGGAGGCTATCAGAACAGCTCAAGCAGGGCGCCTGGGCGGCTCAGTTGGTTAAGCGACTGCCTTCGGCTCGGGTCATGATCCTGGAGCCCTGGGATCGAGTCCCACATCGGGCTCCCTGCTCAGCAGGGAGTCTGCTTCTCCCTCTGACCCTCCCCCCTCTCATGTGCTCTCTCTCTCATTCTCTCTCTCTCAAATAAATAAATAAAATCTTTAAAAAAAAAAAAAAAGAACAGCTCAAGCAAATAAAATGAGGTGCACTCTCTTAGACGGAAAAATGTTCCTTTCTAGGAATTAATTAATAAATTTAACACAAATCAAGGCAAAATCCCTAGGTATTCTGTTTGGAAAATTTAAATATATGTAGATGAATAAAGGGAGATATAGAAAGAAAATTTTATAAATGCATATTAATGAGAAACAGGCACTGACACATCTAAAAATCACATTAAATGCTGTAATAATTCAGACAACATAGTACTAGTGCATAAAGAGAATTCCAAGTAATAGACATAGGAATATAAATTTAACATGTGACCAAATGGGTATTTTAATAAGTGGGAAGAGAATTTCAATAAAAGATATTGAAACATATGTCCTACCACTTGGAAATAAATGATATTGTATTCCTACCTCTTACTATATCCAAAAACAATTTCATGTGCCGTGACTCTAATATGTGTATGTATGTACTTAGATTTAGATTTAAATCAATTTATTCAAATTGACCTTCATTTCTTCAAATGGAAGATAAGGAACTTAGAGCAGATGATCTGTTAGGTTATTTCCAGTTCTAATATCCCATGAAATATGAAATAGGGTGGGGGATGGAAGGCTAATTTAGTAGTCAAATATTTACCTGTTGTTTTTTTGTTTAAAGTGGCAAAGCCAAGAGATGATGTAGTAAAAGAAGTCTGATGACTTGGAAGAGCGTGATATCTAAGCACCTAATTGATCTTACCAAGTCCTGTCACTGTTATTGTTGCCTGGGACTGGATCTTTCCAAACTGGTTTTCAGCTTCACAAATATAGGTTCCTTTATCATTTGCCCATAAATCTAAACAGAAGAGATCGTTTACTCATTTAACACCATCGATGAAGCTTAACTACGTGCCAGGCACACTGCTGAGATTTGTGGGTGGAAAATATGTGGGTACTGTCTTCTGGTAGTTCCCATTCTACGGGAGGAGATATATATAAAAACCAACAATCATACCACAGTGTGATAAATGCTGTAATATGCACTTCAAACAAAGCTGTGGGAGCACAGAGACAGAAGAGACTGATGGCATTGTAGAGGACTTAGGGGAGGAGTCGCAGAGCAGGTAGGATACAAGCTGTACCTTAAATAGCAGGTAGAATAGGGGAAGGGCAGTCCAAGCCCAACGGGCTGCAAAGACAAAAGCGTAACTTGAAAAATCAAGGTCTGTTCAAAGAATGGAAAGCTGCACTACCAATGTATCTGCAGCACCACCCTGGGGGCATTTTGAAGGTTTGCAAGAGAGATTTTTTTTTAGTTGGCCCAGTGACTGGGGGAATATATCTGCACTCAGTGGGCAAAAACTGGGGAGGCCATGCAGGGGGCAGATTCATGAAAGGAACAATTATCCCAAGTTCAGTAAGACTTTTGAAGACCCCACTGGAAATTCATGGATTTGATGACCTTGTTTATAATTATATGATAATTATATTTATCAGCCTACATTTGAGCTGTCAAATTCATGGGGATGTACATAAACATGTATGTACATTATGTAGACATTGCCAGGGTATTTACCTATTGAAATACCTATTGTTTCAATAAAAATTACTTTATTTTCCTTTGTACTACATTTTAGGTATTAAAATAGTTTTTACTATGTAGGTAGATCAAAAATATAGACTTTGTTTCAGGATAGTAAAAAGGATATTACAAAACATTTTTAATTAAGGAGGGCATTAGGGGGATCAGGTCGAAGACTACTAGGTTAAAGGTTGTGTGGTTACAGTCAGGAGACAAGCTAAAGACATAGTTTGGTGCCTTGTAAAGAGTGTGCTTTCTCTTGTGAGCAATAAGGGAGGCAACTGAAGATTTTAAATAGGGAAATGACTGTAATCTTTGCAAATATCTTAACTAAATAAGCACAGTGTTATCTACTGAAAAGATCTGACAGAGAAAAACGTAGCTTTCCATTTTAAACAGTTCCATATTCTCTCAGATAAAGAGCAGTGACAAAGCTTCTACACCTCTGTTAACCTTTTGCATGTAACTGCAGGACTGCATCTGGTAAACTCAGGCAGTGTCCGCTCTCAACGACAGCAAACACTTGCAAAGGAAAATTCAGCAAATCATCTGGTTAATAAGGCACACACTGTTTCTATCCAAGATATTTTTCATATTATCAACTCTTGGACTAATTTGTGTAGACGTACATAACACAACGGAGAACTGTTTCTTATCACTATTTGCCTTCTGGAGAGTTTAATTCGGACACTTGGGCAACCACTTGTCAATACATCGCGCTCTTTTAGTCTTCCCTTTTTACATCTGATTTGTTTCAGGCCCAATTTCCTGTTGGGCTTTTCTCATCACTACTATCACCCCACCTGCATAACTCTGTGAGCCTCCTCATTTTCCTTCTCATCTCTCCCATCTTGCAGAGGGGTTGTTCTGAAATAGTATTTCATGTGCCTTTTCCCTGCAGTGAAGCTTGGAGGGTTATTTTCTACCTCATCAAAAGCATTTCTTCACCTGCACATTCCAGGTCCTGCACAATCTGACCCAGTAGGTACTTTTGTGGCCACCCCTTAGATGGTAGGTTGTAAAATGCCCGAGTGAGGGACCCCATGTATGACTTCTGTCTTCACCATAGAGTCTGGCCCAGAGCTGAATGCTAAAGCACTTATAATTACTTTAATTTGTATTTGGAAGTTTAAGTGGCTAATGGATGTTTAATATTTAGTAAACATGGAAATCAGTTATTGGAGACTTGCTACAAAATAACCCCAAAGATGCAATTACTCTTTAAACACCAGTTAATCGGCTAAATGATTTTATCACCCTAGTGCCATTATTCAAACATTCTGAACATTATCTTTAAAAAGTACGAAGTATTTACAAATATCTGAATGCTTACAGGCAAAATTTTTGGATGCTGGAGTGTTTGACTTTTTCCCCCAATATTCTGCTCCAGGTAGAGATCAGTTTTAATCAAGGAGCTTCGATAGGGTATAGAGTCCCTATCTGTATGGTTATGTATTGTTGGTCAAAAAAAATTTCATTAAAGTTAACTAACTACTAGTAATATTTTACCTTTCAATACAGCAGCTGGTACAAGAGTCAATAAAATGTGATCACTTATCCACCTAGAGGCCCAGGTGACTCTATTTGCAATAAGAAATGGTGCAATAAGAAATGAAGAAGTCACATTGCTTCATAAGCCTTTATGATATGACATATGACATCTGAATAAAATATAACTTATTTATGACAATTCCAAAATATAAGAATTCAATACTCTTTTGAAAGGAAATGCAAAAAAACACAAAATGTTGGCAAGATCAATTCACAGACTAATCCCGATGTATAGAACATGAATGTATAATATATATGTATATACTTGTATAAAATATATTTCCTTTAACCTACTTGAAATAAAGAGAGCTCCTGTTCTTAGTTGGCTGATGGAACTCACTGAAAAGGGTCTTGAGAAGATCGGCATGATGTCTGATCTCTGCCATTTAATCTTTGGTTCTGGATAACCCTGAACATAGCAAGGTAATGTCACATTTGAGCCAATTTCCACAGAAACATCAGCAGGTTCTTGTATGAAAACTGGAGGTGCTAGAAGATATTTAAAGCAAACAAACAAAAAAAGGTCATTGGGATAGTATATAGGCACATTAAAATATAAACTTCATTATTAAACTGTCAGCAGATTGAATCTGACTCAAGGTATTGTTCACATAATATTGTAAGTTTACCCTTTAAGTATTCCTGGCTGCCACTGAAATAGCAGGTATTTCTTTTTTGCTTTATAAATGAATAGAGGCACAAAGTAGTTCAACTACTTCCTTAAAGTGATAAATGATGAAGAGAGTGGAATTTAAGAGTGGGAATTTACATCAAGATTACTTCAAATAAAGAGAAGCTTTCATTTTAGAAATTTGTTTTAAATTTTAGTTTATGTCATACTGCTCAAATCTTTGAACTTTCTTATAAATAAGTTTGCCTTGTAATGAAATATTTTTTACACTTTCCAAAACTTAACTCCTTTTGGTCAAATTTTTAAAGAACTTAATTTATACCAGAGCTCATTCTTTTTTTTAAAGATTTTATTTATTCATTTGACAGAGAGAGACACAGCGAGAGAGGGAACACAAGCAGGGGGAGTGGGAGAGGGAGAAGCAGGCTTCTGGTAGAGCAGGGAGCCCGATGCGGGGCTGGATCCCAGGACCCTGGGATCACGACCCAAGCCGAAGGCAGACGCCTAACCGACTGAGCCACCCAGGCGCCCCTATACCAGAGCTCATTCTTTAATGAATCACTGTATAACCAGCTAACAGTAATTAATCTTAAATTATATCCTTGTTCTAGATCACATTCTTGCTTCTCAATACCTTTCACCTTTTTTTGTTACATTTTTGAGTTAAAGAAATATGAGCTTGAGAATCAATAATAAAATTAAGTAACAGAATATAGTATCTGATAAAAAGAGAATAATGAGACCTTAATATTTTAGAGTTAAAATCTGATTCAGAAATTACAAAATTATAGATCAAAAGGCTACAGTTATCTACATAATTTAGATAAACACAGAAGCCAGGAGGAAGAATTAGAAATGTGTCATAGGCACAACTTGGAAAACATGGGAAGGCAACACAGGAGAAAACTGTCAGCAAGACCTAATAGATGAGGCTATCAATATGTCTATCCCCCAGAACTTAAAAGTAATGAGGTATGAGATATAAGACAAGGAGAAATATATAGGATGCTATTGGAGGTGATTCACGAAACCTGCTCATGTAGGATTCTTTTTTTTTTTTAATTTTATTTATTTATTTGAGAGAGAAAGAAAGACAGAAAGAGCATGTGTGGGAGTGAGGGGAGGAGCAGAGGGAGAGGGACAAACAGACTCAGGCTGAGTGCGGGGCTTGATCTCACAATCCCGAGATCATGACCTGAGCCAAAACCAAGAGCTGGTCGCTTAGCCAACTGAGCTACCCAGGTGCCCCCTGCTTATATAGGATTCTAAGAGGAGGAGCCAAGAGAGGGCTCCTTAATAATGTCAAGGTTAAGTCTTGCTTAGAAATTCAACTATCACTTACAAAGACAAGGACTGTTGTTAAGTGCTTTCCATTAATTTTCTCATTTAATCTTCACAATATCCTTATGGGGTAAGTACTATCATTACTCCAATTTTATAGATGAAGAAACTGAGACAAGATAGTTAATTTGCTAAGTGTCACATGGAATTGAAGGGTGAAGGTAGGATTGAAAACTAGATTGATCCTGGTAACAATTCTTTGTCATTTTATCAGCCTCCCCTTTTCTATAGGTTCTTACAACTGCTCAAAGTCAAGTTGTTTAGCAGGCTAATAAAAATGGGTGCAGAGATCACTTCTTTCCTTCTCATTGGGAATCCTGGGACTCGGATGTACAGTTGTCTCCCGAGCAGCCTTAGTGCTTTATTAGCCTGGGCTAAAGGACATCCTCTAACTTTGCAGCCTCATCTCCCATTATTCCCCTACAGAAATCTTATTTTCTGGACAATTCGAACTCTTCATTCTTCTCCAAACAAGGATTGACCATTTTCATATCAGTATCCGCATGTTATTGCCATCCCTTTCAAATGCAATGTTGGCTGTTGATCTCTGGCTATTGAAATACTGACAATTCTTTAATCCAGTTCAAAAGGTCCCTCCTCAATGCCATCTCTCATCCTCCCAGATAGACATGATTTCTTCCCTATGTGAGGTTTCAGAGAACTCACTCTTTATCACTCTCATGGCAATGGCCCACATGCTGCCTTTTATTAGACTAATGTTTGATTTTCCCTAGAGAGTTCATGTTTGCAACCATATTTTATCTTTTTTGGCAACTAACATAGTACTTTGTGCATTATTCAAGGTGGCTAGATATCTGTGAATGATTGAATCAATATTATAACATTTCAACAATAATCTAGTGTGTGCATTTGTATATGTGTGTAAGTGTATGGTGATGATAACAACCTTGATCCCACACATTTGAACTTGCACTTTTGAAGAAAACATGGCAATTTCAGAAGCCCCATTATTTGTTTACTGAACCTAAATTAAATTAAATTAAATTAAACCCACAATTGAGTAACATGTTTTCAAAAAGAAGTAGTGAGGCCGTGTTTAGATTTCTCTTAATCCACCTCTATGGGAATTTGGCTTATAAAAATAATAGGCAAAATAAGTATATTTAGAAAATAATTTATAAAGCAGCTCATTGTTTGCCTATCTTAGGTGTAAAGGACTAGTTACTTTTCTCTAGAGTGATTAGTAATCATTTATTCCAGAGCCAGTTGCTTTTCTGAAAAATAGATGTTAAGTATAAAAGTCTCAGGATGTATTAGGTGCAGAGTGTGGGCAGGTGGATGTGAAAATGGGGCAGAAAATAAATTCCAGAAAAACAAAAAGATATGCAGAAGCCTGGGATTGACCAAGTATTTGGGAAGAACCCAAGCTTACTGACACAACAGAACATAGCCATCAGTGAAAATGGAGACAAATTAGAATTTTTAGAAGTAAGAAAGCCAAGAACAAACTGGACTAAAAAAGGATAAGCAGAGTTCAGACTGTGCCCATAAAACTCAATTAAGACAGAAGAAGTCATCTGTGGTGAAGAAGCTTTGGGAACCGCGTCAGGCACAAGACAAGCAGAAGGTTAGGGAATATACATACTTGTACCAGAAAACAAGGCAAATGAGAGTACCAGGCACTAGGTAAGCAGCCAAGACAGCATCAATGACAAGCAAACCTCAAAAATGAAGCAACTCCTAACTCAGGCCAAGACACCTTTTAAATACTTCCTACTCCTGAGTGTGGCCAATTTGGACTCCAAGTGAATTACATTGGGTGGATGGTAAACAGATTAAAGGGACCAGGGAAGGGGCAGCAGTGATTGTAGCACAAAACACGGGACTTGTACAGGGGAGGCTGTGTTGCTTAGAGACATTACAGTCCATTAGGTGGTTTTGAATGGCAGTTCCATTATTTCTTAGTCTGTAAAACTGGAAAATTATTTTGCCTCCCCCAGTCTAAATCTCTCCATGAACAAAAGGAGGTGATAATATTTCCTATCTCACATTGTTAAAAGAGGTAGTCTTCATTAATCATTTAGGCATGTAGTAATCATCCAAATATTAACTATCATTGGTTATAAATATTGTTGAGTTAATTTATTAAATCTTAGCTCCGAAATTTAATATATCTATTATTAATTTCAATTTCAGTTTGTGCATACAGTCTGTCAGGATTATGATGGACTCACTGGGATCCCCTAAATATTTGTGTGCAAATCCTTTAAGAACTGCAGAATTAACACAGGGTATGGCTTTGTTGTCACCGACAGATATTTTCACTCTGAAAATAGAAAAGTTACAAACTTTTCTGCTCTAAAAGCTATTCCATAAAATTATTCTAGTTCCTTTAGTGATAATTAAATATATATCCACTAAGGCAACTCTTGCATTATATTAGTCAAACGGAGATTTTCTTTCCTAAAATGGCTGAACACACTGTTTTGGTTCTACCAAAGCATAAAACACAAAACCACAGTCTAAGACTCAAATCCTGAGTGGTGTGGAATACTGCAAATAAAACCGCTGCCAGGCCAACTTTTTGTTTGATGTAGCCAATCTTCTTCTCTTCCAAATGACTTCACAATTCACTACCTCTTTTTAAAAAAGGATGAAAAGCACTGGTAACTTTCCCTGCTGACCTGAAATGTCTATAACTCAGAGCCATGATAATGAGAAACAGGAAAGAGGAGACTCACTACAAGAAGCTGTAACTCCACAATAATATTGAACAGCTTTTTTATCATTGTTTTTTTGATCTAGTATTGATGTAAGGTAATAGGCCCACAAAAACGATCTGAACGCCCAACAGCTACATGATAGGGATAAAGGCATGTTTTTCTTTTTTAGTCATAAGCTACTTAAATTTATGCCCAATAGTTTTGGAATGCAAATGATTAATTTTATGCACTACTACTAAAAGTAGTACTTGAATTATCTCAGGCCCTTTTTAAAAAAAAAAAATCAACTTGAAACAGTGACTTTCATATTAAAAGCCCAATGTTTAATCTTAAATACTACGCCATTATTATATGTGTGTTTCTATATTATTTTTCAGGACTCCAAGAATCAAAATGACAATTCAATTTGTGAAGTTCATGTATTTGATACGTGTGCCATTCGTGAGGCAGATGGGAGAGCAGCAACCACTGACATGCTGAACGCATGTGGGTAGGTAATGATGTCTCATTTCATCTTTACAACTAACTTAACAGGTAGGTACTATTAAAGTCAGGCAGAAAACCCAGTCTCTCTCCAAAGCCCATTCTCTTAACCACTGTGTAAATTCTGAGGAAAATTTTCGGGGTTTTTTGTTTGTTTGTTTGTTGGCTTTTAATCCTAATAGTGACAACTACAACCATCACTGCAACTGTGATTTCCGTGGGCCTTTGGCAGTTACACCCTGTATCTGCTAGGATATATAACCATCGTTTTATGTGGACAGACAAGGTCTAACCAAACTTTGTGAGCTAAGGTAATCAGAATTCTAACGGTGAATAAGGAGATTGTTAAGGCATAACAGACGCATGCACGGCACTAATGTTAGTATTAAGTTATTTGGCAACTTAATGATCAAGGTTACAGTAAGGAAATAATTGAGTTTATGTTAATGGCTCCATCAGAATGATGACCAGGATAAAAGCTGAGAGAGCCATTGTTTTAGAAAAGGTCACAGAGAGTGAAGATCTTGAATAGGAGTGAAGATAAAACAAAATTCAGTTCAAGGAATGAAGGATTAAATACAAAACTTTTGTTAGGATGTTTCCTATTCCAATGCAAGTCACTCCAGGACAGAGAGCCCTAAACTTTACATGGTTTTTCACTAGTCAAAAGAGATAACCTGGAAAATCCAGAAGCTAAAAAGATTATCAAGAAGGCAGTAAATAAGCAAAGAAATGTGTACACTGTTTAGATTTTCTTACAGTCTTGGAGAGGGGTGAGGGTGTCATTCCATTTTTGCTGGGAAAAATTACTCAGACTAATTCGTTCTTCCTCTAGAGCTAGACAACTCTAGAAGAATGTTGGGTAAATATAAAATATCTGGGCAGGGAAGAGGGAGAAGCAGAGCTAGAAAATGTTGGGAATTTGAAACACTGTACTTGTATATTTCTTAGAAACAAGAATTATGTATCAAGTGATCCTCTTCATTTGGGCCCTACTTTTCTAAAAGGTTTCCTTGTGTTTTAACTCTGCTGGTAGATTCAGATATCCTCCACCCAGAGATTCCAATCTTATTTCCAAGGCACTTCTCTTAATAACCCCAGAGTTTAGTCATAGTCAAACACATTTTGCTCTGCCCTAGCCAGATTCTACTGTGGTCTTTGTGGCCATTTCCAGCTTTGTCGATTCTACCCCAAGGGCATAATCACCAAGAACGCACAGTGTTCAGACAGCCCAAGGGCAAGGGGATCATAAAAAGATCCTAAGAGGAAAAAAATTAGTTTATATGAAATAAAATATTAAGCTTACAGGGTGATTATATTCATTTAAAGAATTAAGATAGAGCTAAAATGTTTTATATTACTTTATTCTAAAAAAAATGCATTTTCTTATAGTTCTTAACTTTTGTTTAAAAAAAACAGCTGAGGCATGAAAATCATCATACATAAATGAAAATGCAATTTAACAAAATGTCATATTTTATAAGTTTAACTGATGTAAATGTTTGAATTATCTGTTAAAATTAAGCTGCCAGGTTCCTTTTCATACAAAACAAGCTCTGTTTTATATCATGTGTTACCACACTATGTAGAAAAAAAATTTTTTTTTTTTTTAAGAAACAGGAGATGGAGAGACAAAGAAGGAGGGAGAACCAAACTTCTTGAGTAATCTGACGATAGTTGCTATGCACGTGCTGTATCCTTCATGATGTGATTGACATTGATTTGTAACTAGTACTTTATTTTATACACTGAGGAGTCATTGCTAGTAAATTTTTTTTTTTTTTAAAGCAAAAGCACAATCTGCTACCTTCGCTATCATCAACATCTCCAAATTATGGTCTAGGGCCAAAGTCTAATTTCTGGCCTCCAGATGTTAATACTTAGGAATTTTGTGTCATCCAACTCCCGTTAGGAAAATGTTTGGCAATAGATGATATACCAGTGAAGCCTATAGTCTCTGACGTCAGATAACCTGTGTTCAAATATCCAGGCTCGGCCCCTCCATAGATCTGTGATCCTGGTCAAGTTACTTAGATTTGCTACACCTCCATTTCCTTATCTATTTAATGGAGATCATTATAATATCTTCCTCTTAGGATTGCTCTGAGAGTTTAATGAGATAATGCACATACAAGGTTTTATCATAGTGCATGGCACATAGAAAGCACTTGGTAAATACTTATTACCGTTATTATATTAATAATCTGAAACGCTAACTCTAATTTGTCCATTCTGACAGATATTTCCACTCAGTTGTTTCAAAGTTCTTAGCATGGAAAAAAAACGAACGTGTCTATCAGAGCTGGGATGCTTACAGCCAACATCCAGAGTTATCTTGCCAGCAGCTCTTCCAGCATCATTGACAGCTACACACATATAATCACCAGCATCCAGGTCTTGAGTTTCTTGAATCTTCAAAAGCCCCAAGAGAGGGTCAATAAGGAGGAATGTTGAGGGCCTCAGCTCAAGATCCCCTACGTCAAAACAAAGAGAGAACATTAACTAAAGTATTTACAGTTTACTCCAGTACTGGTTTGATTTCTAAACTGCTGAAGAAAATGGACTGTGAAGTTCTTAAAATACAACATAGACACTTAAACAATGTTTATACAAAGAAAGAATGAAGTGTTTCTTGGCACTAAGCTGATTTATTAGTCTGTATAAATCTATGGGCTGACCGAGAGCCAAAAATCTGGCCCCAAGTATTTTCTACTGTATGTACCTAAATAAGAATGAACTCTTCAAGAAAGACATGTATCATATGACCTCACTGATATGAGGAATTCTTAATCGCAGGAAACAAACTGAGGGTTGCTGGAGTGGGGGTGGGGTGGGAG